GAACCAGCTTCCAAGAGAAGTGGTGCTGGCTCCTACCCTGGGGGTCTTTAAGAGGAGGCTGGATGAACATCTGGCCGGGGTCGTTTGACCCCAGTGCTCTTTCTTGCCACGGCAGGGGGTTGGACTTGATGATCTGTCAAGGTCCCTTCCGACCCGACCAACTATGAAACTGTGAAACCCTGCTCGGGGTGGCGGGTGACCGGTGACTTTGCATCAGCTTGGGAAGGCAGCGTGCGCAGGCATGACATACCTGCTGGGGCACGAGCAGCCTGACCGGGCCCGCCGGCACAAAAGCTCGCAGGATGCCGCTTTGCAGCAACGTGAAAACAACCGCTCGAGACAGCCGTCATGCAAGCGGGAAGGAGTCCCAGGTGAGCTGACCGTGGATGTCTTTTTGTCGCCAGGGATTTCTGCTGAGCTGTGCTGGGCCTGGGACGCAGAGGACTCTTCCTACGTCTGCAGCAAATATCTTGTCAAACCTGGGGCAACGCCACCCCCGGAAGGTGGCCCACCAAAGGTCTCTCGGCCTCCCCAGCCGAGTCCTTGCCTTTGGCGGGCTCTTCCCTCTTTCCTTCTGTTGTCGTATCTGCCCCGTAATCTCTGCGCAGAGGTGGCCTCTAGCCACGCGATGCAGTCTCATCCCCAGCCCGGTCACTTGACCCTTTAAGATCGCTGGCTCCGGTCGGCCGCCGCTGAAGTCGGGGCATGTAGGGAGTCGGGGCCGAGCGTAGGCCTTAAAAGCTAGCTGTCGCCTGTGATGCGTGCAGCCTTTGGAGGCCCGCGTCTTGCCAACTTGAGCACGCGCGTAATGTCATGGACTTTGCCTACGGTGACACGTTACCCCAGGCCGCCTCGTTGAAGAAGGGTATTGACATGCTGGGCTGCCTCGGGAGGTAGATCGCCAAGACAAAAGCATCGTCGCTACTGTCTGCAGCATTAGCGAGCCCCTTCCCGGATGCTGTATCCAGTTCTCGGGGAAGGCTGATCAAGTGGAAAAGGTTCCTAAAAGAAATATGAGATTGGACTTGGGTCTAGAATCCCTTCCTCGGCAGGAGAGACTACGGCGGCTCCACCTGTTCACCTTCAGAAGAGAGAAGGCTTAGCAGCCATTTGATCGTGGGCTAACAGCAACCCTGTGGAGGGCAAGTTTCCAGTGGGTCCAGGCGCTCGAATCTGCCTGCCAGAGGCAGAAGCGACCGCAGCGGCTGGAGGATGCGCCTGGCCGGATTCGTTCTCGGAATTGGGTGCCCGCTATTTTCCGGTTACACGATGGGTTCTTCGCTAGAGGAACGACTCGCCCAGGGGTCTGATGAATTGTCCCTCGCCCAAAGTCCTGAAGCGAAGTCTGGGTCTTGGTAAGAGACGGGCGGGAGCATCGCCTGACGTGAGTTGGGTTGATGCCGACAGCACCTGCCGAAGTCCTGCCGGTGGGTCCGGTGGGGAGCAGACTAGGTGCACGCTCGCGGCCCTACAAATCTAACAGGGATTTTGTCCATTTGCGGTCAGCTGCCTCCTTTCTCCTTTCCGTCCTTTGGATCGCCTTTCTCTGTACTTTCTCTAGCTCTCGCGTTGTCTTTCATGGGTCAGGCGCCACGTCCACGCGTTGGGGATATCGAGCCATCCTTCCTGACCCAGGCTTGGCAAGCCCTGCCGCCCCGGATGCGCACGGAGAAGCGCAGACAGGAGCTAGCGGCACTCTTTCGGTAAGGGGCGGAGGTTGGACGGCAACGGCGGCGGCAGAGCTAGGAAGCGTTGTCAGGAGGGGCTAGCGAGTGCGGCAGACTGACGCTCGCATTGCGCTGGGGAAGGCGAAGCACAGAGAAACTGCAGATGGGACGAGGAGCGGGGGCAGCGGTGGAGGCGGGCAAGGGGCTGACCATTCCCTGCTTGATTTCAGCACATAGGACAGACGGGGCCCGGGTTGCACCCACGATGGCCTCAGGCTTCAGCCGGTCCTTCGCAGCACCCCCGGGAACCGTTGCGGGGAGGCCCGCCCCGCTGCCACGGCCTGCCCCTCGTTCTGCAGCTGTGTAGTCCTGAGAACCCTGCCTAACCCCCTTTTTTTTCCCCACTCTTTCCATGTAACAGTTTGAGCCGCTGTCTGAAGGATCCGGAAAGAAAGATCTGCGCGGACCAGAGGACGTGGGGGTTGACACAGGTGTGCGTGGCGATGTGACGCTGTGGGGGCTGACGCAGGTATGAGTGGGGACGTGACTGGCTAAGCTAGGCGATGCGCTCCAGGGCTCGCGGGAAGCCTGTAGCTAAACCAGGAAGCGACTCGAGGCCTGCCGACCCCACATTTGCTGCTCTGCTCGGAGCCCGTCGTTGCTGCCCTGCCTGCCGTCTCCCGTGCAGCGCTGCGGGAACGCAATAGTTAGTTCCCGACCATCAAGCACGCAATTGTGCAGAGCTTGGACCCGGCAAAGGATCCTGTCAAGCTGGTTACCGGCGTGCCAGCCTCGGGCCCACCTTTGTAGCACGCGAGGCTCGTTCGCTCGGCTTGTGGGCTCCGTGTGGGCTAAGCGCCGTGGCTGAGCGATTACGAGAGCGGGCTGAAGATGCAAAGGCGTTTCCCCGGACCAAATCCCACCCTGTCCGCAGGAGAGGCTTGTTTCTCGAGGAAGGGCCGTGGGCTCAGTGCCCTTGGGAGACCCTGGCTTTATTCTTCTATGTGACGCGACTGCTCTTTTCTCCACAGCAGCTGGTGCCAGCGCGCCGCAAAAACGGTCGTCTTTGTTGAAGAAGATCCCGAATGCGCTGTCCAGAGCGCGCGCTCTCCTGTCCGCTTGCTTGTCGTGCCGCCAGAGGTCTCGGCAAGTCACCCCGGAGCGTACCCCTACGTGTTAAGTTGTTTGAGGATAAATAAGGGAAAAAATAAATAGTTAGGACAAGATGCGGTCTGGTGGAGGCTGCCAGTGGTACTCTGCGATCATTTGCCGCTTTGTTCTCCTGTTGTGACACTCAACAAAGCAGGCAGACGGGAGGCCTGCTCCGCAGGGAGGGTCCTCCTAAATAATGACAATGTCCTTAATATGGGCTGCCTAGGCACACGTTCACGGGCGTGCTAACTGGCGCCTCGTTGTTTCGGCTCCTTGTTCTTATTAGAAAGCTGCGGCCTCGCCCCGGCGTCACGTGGACGCGGCCCACGCACGTTGTGCAATGGCCGTGGGGTGCTTGACCTTGCGCTTGCTGAACGACGTTTAGACAAAGCGTCCCACCGCCTGTTTTTAAACGTGGTGCGGCATTTTGAGGAGAGCGGTTGCCCAGGAACC